ACTGGTCAGTCTGATGTTCACGCCACTCTGACAGCAGCCCCCCTGCACAGGGGGGGGGGAGAGCCAGGTGGGACTTGCCGCTCCGCATGGGGGGACGCGGATTTTCCCTCCCTGCCCCCCCTCCTTCAGAGCCGATGCCGGGCAGTGGTCCCGATGAGACAGACTGGGCGGGCTCCTCTTTCTGGGTGTAAAAGGTGCCTGACGCAATGCTTGTCTCGCCCAGCTGTTGCAACAGATGTTCACCTTGGTGTCTCTCAGCCCTCTTTCTCTTTGTACGTGGGATGCAGTGTTAATTTGGCAAATTGTCACAGCACAACTGAAAACTGTGATAGTCAGCACATCAGTCAGTCAGGGTGGCAGTCGGCACATCAGTCAGTCAGGGTGGCAGTCGGCACATCAGTCAGTCAGGGTGGCAGTCGGCACATCAGTCAGTCAGGGTGGCAGTCGGCACATCAGTCAGTCAGGGTGGCAGTCAGCACATCAGTCAGTCAGGGTGATAGTCAGTCAGCACATCAGTCAGTCAGGGTGACAGTCAACACTTCATGTGATAGTGAGCACTGTGATGGTCAACTCATCAGTCAGTCAGGGTGATAGTCAGTCAGCACATCAGTCAGTCAGGGTGACAGTCAACACTTCATGTGATAGTGAGCACTGTGATGGTCAACTCATCAGTCAGTCAGGGTGATAGTCAGTCAGCACATCAGTCATTCAGGGTGACAGTCAACACTTCATGTGATAGTGAGCACTGTGATGGTCAACTCATCAGTCAGTCAGGGTGATAGTGGGTCGGCACATCAGTCAGTCTGTGTGACAGTCAGTGAAGCTGTGAGTGAGTTAATATGTCAGTCACTGTGTCACTGTGACAGTCAGTGCATCAGTCAGTCAGTGAAGCTGTGCATGGCTTAATATGTCAGTCAGACAGAACATCATTTGAAAGTGTGTCGGCCAGTCAATCAGTATGCCTATGGTATGCCAGCGGTCCGTCAGTGTGTCTGTCAGCACAGCGGTCAGTCAGTGTGTCTGTCAGCACAGCGTTCAGTCAGTGTGTCTGTCAGCACAGCGTTCAGTCAGTGTGTCTGTCAGCACAGCGTTCAGTCAGTGCATCAGAGTGTCAGCACAGCGGTCAGTCGGTGTGTCAGAGTGTCAGCACAGCGGTCAGTCAGAGTGCCAGCGCATCGGTCAGTCAGTGTGTCAGAGTGCCAGCGCA